AGAAAAAAAAAACAACAGATTGAATGAAGACGCCGGGAGGCTTGCCAGCCCCTATAACAGAAGAGTCGCCCCCGAGAACCAAAGCTTCTACGTTGATGAGGACCGGGGGAATTTAAGCGGATTTCCTCCTCTAGGTACACAGATTGGATCTTTCGCAGGAGAGAATCCATCACCCGGGGACAAGCTGGCCAGGCATAAAAGCCTGTCTAATGCAGAGGCAATCCTCAGCTCCACGGCTCTCGAAAACACGCCGATTCCCCCAATTGACACACCCTGCCATCTAGGAGACAACACGAGAAGCTCCCGATTCCGAATTCCTCCGCAAGAGCCACTCCGTCAACGCCCTGCTTCTTCCGCGTTTTCACCGGATTTATCATCGCTGACAGAGCGGTCTTTCAGCGCAAACGCGCTAAGGCCCAGCTGTTTGCCAAATGTCAGCCACACGGTTTCGTGCCCCGCCCCCCTTTTAAATCACTTGTTCCACCTGTTTCCCCGATTTCTTCCCGGTTTTGCGCTTCGAGAAAATCTCCAAGAACCGTGACGTTATGGTACATTAGTGAGGCTTCAAATGACCGGATGTGCAGCGTTTCCTTCGTCCACACGTGACAGAAGCGTGAAGGCAACGGCCTCGCCGTTTTCTCGCCGAAGCTTCGTTCATTAACGCTGTAACTACCAGAACCCGGATGGTGATATGTTTAACTCTTTGTTTCAAATCTCCATTCCCGAAAAATCTCTTCAAAATACTACTAGAACAATAAAAAAAATGACAATTAAATGCGATAATAAGTGCAACAATAAAAAATGTTCGGACCTTCACCTTACAAATTTGAGGAGGGAATCCTTTTTCTATTCTCGCGTGTTTTGAAAAACTTGAATTAAATATTTATTGTATAATAGTTAATTTTCCAGCGAAAAAATCTAGTGAATTTCATTTAGGTTCTGGGACACGGAAAAATATAGAAATAAAAATTTATTACCTCAAATTTAAATTTTGAAGGCCAGAAAATGTTCTTGCTCTTATATTGTTGCATTGCTCCAATTCATTGCACTTGTTTATTGTTCTAGCATCTTTTGGTTCGGAAAGTATCATATCTGCTTCACCATCCATTAAAGGATTAAGACGTTTACTGAAACAATGCAAACCTAAGTTCGGTTTTCGATATCCTTCATAAAAAACGGCGATATTTTTTCTCTATTAAAAAGGGAGGGAGGGGGGGGGGGGTGGCTGACACCAACATCGAAAAATTTGGTTCTGCCAACAAAGAGGAATTCTTTTCCCGATAGACTTCAGAAGTAATAAAGTTACTTACTTCCCCACCTGTAAAATCATATCGCATAGGGACGAAGTAAACGAAGTCTCTAGGTCGCGGATGTCATCCTACCAATCTCTTGGAGCGAGATTCCTTTTTCCATAAAAAAAAAGAGGGGATATTGAAAAGTTCGCGGATCGAAGTCCATTTTTAAGAGATTCCTCTCGGTAGATTTCTTGGACAAGGTCAAAAGTCTCAGTCGCTGATTTTTTAAGCATGACACTAATTTCAAGGGCGCACCCCCCTTTTAAAGCAATGGAAATACTGACCAGGGTCACCTAACAAGCAAGGATTGTTCAATTACCTTTTCTTGAAACGAAAAAGGAAACGAAACGACTTGATGCAGCTGCTGCGCGCCGACTGAGCAAGCCGCAACGCGACGTGAATCATTTTAGGATCAACTGCAGAACTTTTCAAAGTGAAATTCGCTGTTCTTCCGGAAAGAACTGCCTTTGCCGAATTCGGTAAGGCGTTCCTCCACCTTTCTCCTGGCGGACGAGCGAAAACCAGGTTTAAAAAAAAAAACAACAACAAAAAAAAACAAGCAGATAATTTCGAGCAGACATTCCAGAAGACTCCAGTCCAACTCGCACGGCACGGACTCGCTGCTGCGGTCCAATCGACCAGGCGATCGCAGCGCCGACCAGTCAAATGCGGTCTCCCAAGTCCAATCGGCATTTCATCTATTTCATTCGATTTCCAGACCGTGGCTATACCAACACACCACAGGGCACACGCCATACGGTGCTCATCCCAGAGCTTACGAAAACACTCGTCTATCGTATCCATACAGACATCGGAAATTGCCCACAGCGACTCCGGGAAAGAGCTCACACGTTCTCATTGTGGAAAGCATTGTTCTTCTCTGGGTCTACCAA